TTAGGGCTGTAGGGCTTTAGGGCTTTGGGCTTTAGGATCTAGGCTTTAGGGTTTAGGGCTTTGGGCTTTCGGGTCTAGGCTTTAGGGTTTAGCGCTTTAGGGCTTTGGGCTTTGGGGTTTAGGCGGCTTTGGGGTTTAAGGTTTAGGGTTTAGGGCTGTAGGGCTTTAGGGCTTTGGGCTTTAGGATCTAGGCTTTAGGGTTTAGGGCTTTGGTCTTTGGGGTCTAGGCTTTAGGGTTTAGCGCTTTAGGGCTTTAGGGTGTAGGGCTTTAGGGCTTCGGGGCTTTCGGGTTTAGGCTTTAGGGTTTAGGGCTTTGGGCTTTAGGGTTTAGGGCTTCCAAGAAATGGAAGAAGTAAGCAGGGGTTTCGTGTCTAGGGTTTAGGGGCCATTACAGCTACAAGCAGCTGAGAGATTGTTGATAACAGCCGCGCTATCATCCTAAACCCCCAACCCTAAACCCTCTTCCCCAAGCCCGAACCCTAAAGCCCCAAACATCCTGGAAACACCAGAAGCCCCAGAACCCCAAACCCTAAAACCTGAAGCCCCCATATCCTTAAACCCTAAACCTAAACACCCTAAACCCCCTAACCCCCCTAAACCCCCTAAACCCCCTAAACCCTACACCCTAAACCCTAAAGCCTAAACCTGCGAGGATGTCCGGAAGATGGTGTCCAGCGTGGAGCACAAGCTGCAGGCGGGACCTGGTCCTGGTCGAGTTCCATCGGTTTAGGTTTAGGGTTTGGGATTTAGGGTTTGGGGTTGAGGGTTCAAGGTTTAGGCTTTAGGCTTTATGTTTTTAGGGTTTTAGGGCTTAGGGCTCTAGGGTTTTAGGGTTTAGGGTTTTAGGGTTCTGGGCTTTTCTATGACGTTGCAAGGGCGTCCATAAGGCCTGTCTCCCGGGCCTGAGAAATCTTCTGCGTTTTGGGTTTAGGGTTGAGGGTTTAGGGTTTAGGGTTTAGGGTTTAGGGATTTAGGGTTTAGGGTTTAGGGTTTAGGGTCTGGCTCAAGGCTTCCACTTTATGATTTGACGGTTCTGAATTTAGCGGAATCTAGGACATTTTCAGGTGGGTAGTTAATGTTATAGGAGCCTTATAGAAGGTCTATATACCTTATGGAAGCCTTATAGACGCACTATATACCCTAAACTCCCCACCTGTAGTTTCCTTTAACGGAATGGGTGGTACCATTTCAAGAATAAGGAAAAGCTACAGTTAGCTTTTCCTGGAGGCGCCGAGTCAAAACCCTTAGCCGTAAAACTCCAGAAGCTGCTCAGGCTTCGCAACTTGCAAGATTCTGGGAGATATTCAATGGTTTAGGGTGTAGGGTTTAGGGGTTTAGGGTTTGGGGTAAGAACAAGCGACCCTGACTTCCAGTCTCAGGTCTATGCAGAGCAAGCAAGGCAGCAACATGAGGAGAGCGTCCGATGTGGGGTGGGGTCAACCTGCTTCGCTGCAATCATCACCCTTTCGCGCATCCTTGTTTGCAGATTGAGGTCAGGGATAAATTCCCTCAACCCTAAACCCTAACCCCTAGCTCTTGGTTGCTAGGACGGCAAGGAGTGGTTGAGAGAGGATTTGGCATTGTCGGTGTCTCCTCCGAGAGGAGGGCTGGGCTGCTGAACGAGGTGTTGGGACTTCCCTATAAACCCTAGGGTCCCTATAAATCCCATATTAGGGTTTATAATAAGAACCTACAAAAAAGTGGGTTTGGGGTTCTTAAGGTAAGCCCTGTCCAGTCCCAAGAGGGCTTTGGCTTGAGCCAACATTGCAATTTCTGCAGACGGACGTGAGTGGGTATTAAGGCTCCGGCGGTAAGTACTGCGAACAGTATTGCAGCCTATGTTGTTTTCAGATTGTGCTGTCACCGGCTGTCAACGCATTGTTCAAATCGTATTGACACGGTTCTCGCCAAGTCGCTCACAACCTCTACTACTCGCGCAGTTAAGCTGCATTCCTGAACCACGCAAAACATCGTTTGTGTTGTCATCTGCGTTACCGTGTTGCGCAGCCTGTCAAGCAGGAGCTGGCCGCCGACGAGTGCAGCTTGCATCAAGCGCTACAGGCAGCAGCGGGTTCAAAGTGGGGAACGGACGCAGTGAGTTTGCAAGGTTTCGGGTTCATGTAGGTTGGCTTGCGGGGTCGAACTCGCATCTAGATTCGGGTGCTTTGAGGGCTCTAGGCCTCAACCAAAATTTATCCACAAATCCTCAGCTTGTGACAAGCTAACTCATTACAGCATGCATGTGCAACGCTGGCAGTGGGGCACAGCGAGGCCATGATTTGGTCCAGAAATCAGGGCCTAAAATGTAGCAATCAGGGCCTTATAGGGTCTATAGGGTTGAGGGGTTTAGGGTTAATCAGGGCCTTATAGGGTCTAGGGTTTAGGGGTTTAGAGGTTTAGGATGGGGAGTCGCGAATGATTTGCAACCTCACATCTCGAATACATGCAACGGGGACCAAACCTCGAGCTCTCAAGCCCTCAAGCTCAAGTTCCATAAACTCAGCCTGAAATGCGGAATGCCACCTGAGCCCTAAACCCTAAACCACAATAGTTCAAGTCTACTTGCAGGTTCATGGGAAGTTATAAGTGGAGTTATAAGTAGGGTAACTGTAATTATAACCCATATTAGGGGACTTATAAGCCCACTTATAACTACTCCTAAACCCTAAACCCTAAACCCTAAACCGCGGACCCAGAACTCCGAACCCGGGTTCCGTCTCCTGGGGCCCATGCTACAAGGCATCCTTGGCACGGTTCGAGGCAGCTCGGATGACAGAAACGCCTTCAAAACTACTCCACATAATATAGAGGCCTTCATAATTAGAATAGGGTTTGGGGTATATTTTTCTTTAATCATTATAAGGAACCTGCACAACCCTATTCTAATTATTAAGGCCCCTACATTATCTTAGCTCAGTATCCCTTGCCAAACTGCAAAACATGTCCAACATTTGTGAGTCACGAGTACGTATTCCTGAATTCAGGTTTTGGAGGCCTCTACGTACTGTCTGTCTCTTGCGAGGTTTGGCGTTCACAGGTTCAGTTTCAGGGTCCTCTCGGTCGCAATTTGAGAAAAGCTTCACGGTGTATGCGCCAGGGAACCCTAAACCCTACCTATAGTCTCCATTGTAGTTCCTTTTTTTGGTTTAACCAATTCTATATTAAGGATCTTATAAGGTAACCCCCAAAAAAGGAACTACAAAGGGGACTATAGGTAAAGCCCCAAAACCCTAAACCCTAAACCCTAAACCCTAAACCCTAAACCCTAAACCCTAAGCTAAGGAACCTCCCCTGTGCTTGCGCTTCTGCCCTCTGGGGCCCTAAGTTTCACTAGTAGGAAAGCCCATAGAGCCATAGAGGCCTAGATCTCCATGCTTAAAGGTTTAGGGTTTAGGGTTTAGGGTTTAGAGGCCTAGATCTCCATGCTTAAACCCTAAACCCGAGACCATGCCCCGCTCCCCCTGTCTTGGACCCCAAAACGAAACGCCTATCGAGATGAAAGGGTTAGGACGTCAGGTTTTGAGGTCTCGACTTTGGGATTAGGGCACCGGGTTTAGGGTTTAAGGTTTCGGGTCTCCGGTTTAGGGTTTAGGGTTTAGGGTTTCAGACTCCGGGGGTTTGAGGATTGAAGCATCTCAGGTTTCATGTGCTTTCTTCAGGTTTTGAGTGTCGGGTTTCAGGGTTAGGACTTGCGATCGGTGCAGGGCTACTAAGTAGGCCTTTGCGACATTTTACCTTGCCATTAGTGGGCCTGAGAGAATTTTAGATTATGAATGTTTTGCAAAGAGTTTAAAGGGCCAACCTAGGTTAGGCTTTCGCAAACGTCCGGACATGGTTTGTTTTGGTTGTGGGCTGTTGCCTGGACGGCATCGTGGAAGACACGGAGAGAGTGAGAGAGGCAAAGAGAGGTGTAGATGAGACGGCAAGAGAGAGATATGTGGAGAGGGATGCCAGTTCCATTGCAAGTGAGCCTGCCACGGATCCTAGTGGAGTATCTGTCGATGTCTTTGGTTCTGTTCTCATTGCGAATCTTGAAGCTTAAACCCGAAAGCCCTCTCAACCTCCAACCGGCGAAAACACCGAAATCTCTCGACCCGAAACCCCCAAATCTGAAACCTCAGCCCCTTTGTAACTTTCATCCCCAAACCCCAAACCACAACAAGGCTTGGACGCAAGAGACGGGTCCGCGTCCTGCGCCACGCCGGCGGGCAAAGTCCTGCGATGGGTCGTCCGGCGGAGTTTGCGATTTTGGACTGACGGGTGAGGGTTTAGGATTACTAGCAGTGGGGTTCGAAAGTTTTTGAGGTTTTGGAGGTGCGGAGTGGTTTACTCGATTCCTTCGGGTCTTTTTGTCGGCTTTTGTCGAAGAGTGTGATCCAGAACCAACTCAACAACACCACCACGAACTATTTCGGCTTTCCATAGGCAAACGGGGCTCGATGTTTTGCGGGCAACACAGGGGTGACGCTAAACCCTAAACCGTAAACAGTAGTTGGAGAAGGGCCGGCAAAAGCAACAACACTAAACCTGAACCATAAGCCCTAAACCCTAAACCCTAAACCAGAAGCCCTAAACCTAAACCCTAAACCCGAAGCCCTCAACCATCACAGTGGTGACTTGTGGTGACAAGGCATTTTGAGCAGGGCCATCCTCCTTCTCAAGAGGGTCTGTGTTGCAGAGAGCGCACCCCAAGAGCAGGGAAGAATATGTTGGGGTTCAGTGTTTAGGGTTCAGGGTTTAGGGTGTGGGGTTTGGGGTTTAGGGTTTAGGGTGTAGGGTTTGGGGTGTAGGGTTTGGGGTGTAGGGTTGGCTAAGTGGGAGAAGTTGCAGGTGGAGCGACTGTGGGAACTCCGCCAGGGCGTTCAGCATTTTAGGGCTTGGAGTCGTTTTGGTTTGAAGGGCAGCGGCTGTCAGGCCGTGGCACCCAGAAAAAACAGCAAAGGTTGCAAGTCCATTCCGGACCACGCGCCGCGCGCATCGATGCGTCCACACTGGGCCTGACCTAAGTTGCAGCAGCAACAGCAGCAACAGCAGAAGCTACCCTAAACCCTAAACCCTAAACCCTACACCCTAAACCCTAAACCCTACACCCCAAACCCTAAACCCTAATCTGCCGAACTCCAAAGAACAAATTCCGATTCCCAACGTATGTTTAGGGTTTAGGGTTTAGGGTTTGGGGTTTGGGGTCCCAATCTGAAATGCCCAGTTCCACATCTTCCAGATCGCTTCGCCCATGACCCTGTCCCCTAAACCCCAATTGCAAGCTCTTGAAATTCTGCAAAAAACACACGAAATCCTAAAATCCTAAGCCATAAGTACTTTACATCTTCATCCCAAAAATTATGCAAGAACACACGAAATCCTAAAATCCTAAGCCAGAAGTACTCTACATCTTCAACGATCTCAACCGACGGCAAGCATCATCCTGTCCCCTAGGAGCCAAATGCTTTCAAGGGTTTAGGGTTTAGGGTTTAGGGTTTAGGTTTAGGGTTTAGGGTTTAGGGTTTAGGGAAGTCTTGGCCAGGAGTGTGAGTTAGAGCGTGTAGGGTGTACAGTACCCTAAACCCTAAACCCTAAACCGTGGGTGTACAGTGTTCACGGTTATTGGAGTTTCAGAAAATACTGCCACCCCCTAAAGCTGACCCTCGAAAGGAGTAGGATCTCTAACCCCAAGACAAGGTATTCCTTCTTTCAGCAACCTAAACCCTAAAAACCCGAAACCCGAAACCCTAAATCCTAACACTGAACCCTAAGCCCTGAAAAAAGGAACACCTAAAACGTCCAAGTTCTTGTCCGAGGCAGGCCCAGGGTCAAGCATTGCGCACCCGCGTGGCCCAACTCACGGAGCAGTTGGCTCCCAGCCGAGGCCGTTTGAGAAGACTTCTGCGCGTTTAGGGGTTTGGGGTCTCGGGTTCAGGGTTTAGGGTTTAGGGGTTTAGGGTTTAGGGTAAGATTTTGGTATGTAAGGTGTTTCGTTTAGGCTTATTATTGTTGTTGATACCGTAGTGGCAGTTGCAGTTGCAGTTACAGTAGTAGCAGTTGTCGTCGTCGTGCTGGTTATATGGGGGCCTATAAATCTACCTAATTATAGCATTTTGGGGCTTCCTTGCTATATTTGTAGTATATTTTACCCCAGAGCCCTATCTTGATTATAAGGCCCCTACATTAGTCGTTCATGGTCGTGGTCGTCGTCGTTTTCGTCGTTCTTGCTACTGCCATCGTGAAATTTGCCCTTGCAACCACACAGGAGGATATCTTCAGATGGGAATGCCACGACTTTTCACCCGCTGTATCGCTTGCGGCAGCAGCATCCCTTCCAACAGGTGGTTGCGTTTTCTGTTCTTTCGGCCTGTGAGGAGGTTCAGGCCAAACATGAGCTCCGAGATCAGAAGTTCCCAAGCCCTCTGCACCCGAAAGCCCGCAAACCGAAGCCTCTTCAGCACAAGGCACCTATAGTCTGCATTGTAGTTCTTTTTTGGGGATACCTTGTAGGATCCTTAATATAAAATTGGCTAAACCAAAAAAAGGAACTACAATGGAGACTATAGGTACCTTTCAAACTCAAACACTAAACCCTAAACCCTAAACCCCTAAACCCTAAACCCTAAACCCTAAACCCTAAGCCCTAAACC